ATGCCTGTGATGTGCTCCCCAAGTTTTACACCCAATTGCAGACTCAGCATGACAAACCCCAAACATGCAAAGTCTCTGTAAGCCAGGACCACCTGCTTTTCCCTCTCTGGAATCTCAAAGAATGAGATGGGTACAGGATTAAGGACTTTTCAACTTGTGGTGGTCATTTCTCTCAAAACATTAACAGGAAAAAAGAGGTAATTTAGAGCCTCAGTTTTGGTGTTGGTGTACCATGTTTTCCGGATGTTTTCCACCTCTCCACAGCCCCAAAACTTTACTTACTTTCTTGAAATGAACGTTCTTAAACAAACTAAGAAACGGTAACACAAGCAACAGCCATCAAAATTCTTCTGAGAGCTAGAGGAAAGGCAGTGAAAAAGAAACAGTTTCATGATTTATGCTACTAAGAAAGTTTTATGATTATCCCATTTAAATTAAGTTAAATGGAATTAAACAGAAGTAGGTGATTTATTAGCCAGACTCAAGGAAGGATTATGCTCAAAACTCCAATTTAATGTTAACTATTCTGGCACAAGAGGTGGGAACATAGAGATTAAAGCTGCTACTGATACAAAGTCAGCAGCAATCACAAGAGGCCTAAAATTAAATAGTGCCACATTAGAACTACATAGTAAGGCCACATATTTTAAGATTATTATCAAGAACTTCAGAGACAAGTTCATAAATTAGAAATGATAGAGAGTGGAACCAGAGTGGTGTGCTGAACCACAAAAAAGTCAGGGTGAAGCAACCAAAGAAGGTGCCAGGAGAAGCACAAAAAAAAAAAAAAAAAGAAAAAGTCACTTTCAAGACACTCAGGAGATCTCACAGGGCTATTTATCTTAAGAGATACCTGCACCATTTCAGTTTAAAGGTAATAGCTGCTAGAATACTCTGGGGATGAAAAGCACATTGGGAATAGGACATAAACCCAACTTCTCTTAGCCTAGAAGATCAAAAGGCGAGAGATACAAATTCTATCTATAAATAAATACAGCACAATATATATAAACTATAGACAGGAAAAAAAGCCATTAAAGAGAAACACACTGCAAGCACAGCAGCAAAGGCGTGTAGAAATGCCATGAACTGGAAGTTTTGCCATAAATTGAGACATCAGTACATAGTTAAGCAATGAAATTCTACCCTAGTTCACTGATTAATGAGCAGGCACAAAATGTACCTACTTCAATAACAATGACACATAACTTTATTAGGGGATTGACTGAAATCGGGCTTTTCATGACAAGGGATGGGACTAGATTGTCCAGGAAGCTGCTGCTAGTCCTTGAAAAGCAAATCTGCACACTCATGCCTGGAGCAGAGGAGCAATCCAAACAGCTCCCATATGTTCAGCTCCGGCCTGTCTGGAGCAGGGAAAGGCTGCTCCTTTGGCAGCTCCGTGCTGGGAGAGCTCAGCGAGGCCCACGCACCGAGCCTTGGCACGGCATCATCCAGACAGAGTCCGGACAAAGCAATTCCCAGTGGGAAGGTGCTGTGGGGGGCTGGTGGAGGCAGGGGCCGGAGGAGGCACAGGCCGCCAGGCTGTGCAGAGCCGGGCTGAGCCCTCACTCCGGCCGGCCGAGGGGCTCTGCCCCGCTCCGCCCTGGCGGCTGCGGGCGCTCGGCGCCGCACGGAGCCGTGAGGGGCCGCTCAGGGCGGAGGGTCTGGGCCGCCCGTCATCGCCCACCAGGCGCCCTGGGGACACCGGGGCACACGGAGCCGGGATCGAGCCTCCCTCCCTGCCGTCCGCCGGGTCTCGGGTGCCCTTTTACATAACGGCGGCAGCGCCGCGGTTACACAACGAACGGCGGGGCTGCCCCGGCCCGGCTGCGGTACCGGCGGGAGGGAGGAGAGGGGGCTCTGCCTGAGCCCCTCAGCCGGGTTTGCGCCGCCGCCATGGCGGCCCCTTCCCCGGGGTCACCTCCGCTACCTGCGCCGGGTCCGGCACCCGGGGCTGCAGGCGAACAGCTCCCTGCCTCCCTTCCCTTCCTGCTTCCCTCCTTCCCCGTCCCTGCCCGCCACCGCCACCCGCTCACCATCGCGGCGCTGGGTGCCGCCGGCGAGCGCCCAGCCAGCCGGTCCCGTCGCTGGGCTCCTTCTCTTTACGCTTTTTTTCTTTCCCTCCCTCCCTTCCCCCGTGTTTACCCCCCCGACCTGGAAGTGAATGTTGCCTCAGCCGGCCGGGATCCCGCCTCCCTTAAAGGGGCTGCGCCAGCACAGGTTGGTGCCGTGCTCAGGGAGCGGAGCCTCAACACTCGCGTTTTAGGCTCGAAGTGTGGGGAGAAGGGGCCATTGCACAGCAAAGCGCATCGGCCTCTCTTGCTACGACTGTGTGGGACCTTTTCTTCGGCATGGTTGCTCCGGTAGCGGAGCCGGGACCCGAGAGCTCTGAGGCGCCGGTGAGCGCCCGGCTGGAGCAGGTGAGCAGCAGCTCTGTGGCCTCGGGACCTCCGACAGCCACGAACTGGCGTCGGCTTCACGCTTGGTGCTCTCAAGCCTCTGCAGTTCAAGTGTTTCCTGCACAAACTGGTTTATTCTGGTAATATGAATAATAACGTGCACCAGTACAATAGGTTCTGCCTGCCTGCTTTGGGGGGGGAGCTTTGCTGTAAGCATAAACCATTCCATACAAAGTAATTTCAGGTTTCAGATAACAGTAGTAGTGAAGAAAACCTGTCTCCCAACCAATACATATAATGTACTGTTGGTCAAGAGAATACAGTTGTTGTTCCAGGATACAAACTAAAGAGCAATACAAATATCCTTGTATTTGTAATAAATAATGAATAATTATTTGAATTAATAATGAATAAAATGAATTAGAATATAGAATTTTATGTAAAAGAATTGCTGATTCTACATGCAGAAGCTTTGGATAACTGTTGTTTGCAAACTAGCAAACCAGCAAGACACATAAATAAAAATTAAGGAACAATTACCAAAATTATTTATGTTTCTTTCTTTACAAGATGGCAAAAGATTTTATTAATACTATGAAACACAGTTTTACCAGTTTAAGGACTGCATAACAAAGGTCAGTTATAGTTCTAATTCTTTAGATCAGACTGCTGATGTAGAGAAAATATATTACATGCTCAGGATCTGACAAGCACAGAATTAAGAATCTTCATGTTCTGAATTTAACCACTTTAAAACCTAATCTGCTTAGAAGAAACAACTTATATAATTATGGGCACAGATATTAGCTTAGATAAGGAAGCAGCTCATACTATTATTCTTAGTCCATTACGTGTTTCTTCCACTCCGTAATGTCTTTGCAAGCTTCCAGACTGTTCTTTCAATGGCTTTTAAATTCACTGCTTCACTCTGACCTATCACCAGATGTCTTGTTTTCCGAATTTATGATAGGAGCTGGGCTCAGGCAGTGAAAACTTTCAGTGACAGCCTGACCCCCTGCTCCCAGTGCCTGTTCTTAGCCTGTACTCAGGAATCCACTCCTGGTATGGAGCAGCCATATGGTTGAGTTGGCACAGGCTCAGCATCGGCATCAGGAGCTGCAAAGACAAAATCCCAGCAAGAGCAGACTCTTCAAGGACTTAAACTAATAAACTCAAGGAATTTCTACGGAGCCTGTGCAAACTGGAATGTTTTCAAAGCTGGATTTTCAGAGAAACAGTATTGCTGGTAAAAAAACAGTTCGCCTTCTAAAGGCCCCATCCAGGATGGAGATTCACACAAACATTCTCAGATTGCAGCCAGCACTGGCCAAGCAATGTGTAACTTCTTCCTTTAGTCTCACACATGTGGCAGTGGGTTTTGGTCAATACATATTGAAAACAAGACTTTAGCTGCACATGGAAAATGTGTTTTAACTTCAAACCAAATTTTTAACAGTCTAAAAAGTTTTAAGGAAATACTTTAGAAGATGTAACTGGTGTTTCAGCTATACACCTGGCAGGGTTTGCTGCCAGTCCAGCTAGTACTGGTAGCTCTAGCCCTTAATAAAGGATAAGGCTTCTTCCTATGGGAGACTGCACAGGATTTAACTGAGTTTTAATTTTCCCAAAAACTCAACAAGCTGGTGTTACTCTACTTAAATAATTTGGGACAAAGCATTTGCAAATATTGCAAATATTCTACGAAATTTATTTTAACTCAAACTCGGATTGATTTTAAGCAATTCTTAACACATTTCTAATGTGCTGCTTTACTCACAAAAAAATCAATTTGTGCTCAAAACTGCTGGAATTAGATAATGTGCCATGTTTTCTGTAAGTTTTCTGTTATCACATTTGGGTTAAATTAATCCATAATGTTGTGGGTGCCCATCCCTGGAAGTGTTCAAGGCCAGGTTGGATGGGGCTTTGAGCAGCCTGGGAGAGTGGAAGGTGTCCCTGCCCATGGCAGGGGGATTCTCAGATCCAGGAGCAGCAGGGTTCGTTGTGTGTTCAGTGCTTACCCGTGTCTGGGTGTTCCCAGTGCCTGCTCAGTGCAGGTTCCAGTGCTTCAAAAAGCACCTGGGAGAGCTTTTGTGGTACCGCAGAAAGGAGTGGGGGCTGGGAGCAGTCTCTCACAGCAGCACCTCTGTTCTAAAGCGGATTTGGAAATTATCGAGCTGTTAATCCAGACAAAAGTGTGCAGGAGGCAGACTCAGGAATAGAGAAAGCAGCCCTGCTCCTAGGTCGTGCAGAGCGCGATTAACGTACTGTCATGTCTTAGTCTGGGTTGTGCTGATCAGACCTCGGGAACACGCATAGGATGGCGCAAACTCTGAAAGTAAAGTTTTAACAGTGTGTTACCGCTTAAAACTGCTGAACCCTCAGAGTTCCCGATGACCCCGGGAGCGCACAGAAGTAACGAGAGGAGCTGTGAGGGGAGGGACGCGAAGAGAGGCTGGGGAGTGACTGGAGGAGCGGCCGGCCAAGGGGCGGGAGAAGCGGGCGGACGCGGGGCGGGCACGGAGCCGGTACGGGCGGTCGCGGAGGGCGGGGAAGGAGCGGGCGGAGGCGGCGGAGGCGGGGCCGGGTACGGCACAGGCGGGCGGGGAAGGGGCGGCCCCGGGGGGCGGCGCCGAATCGAGCGCTCGGCGCTCACCGGAGGCGCCGCCGCGGTCGCGCCGTGACCCAGCGCGGCAATGGCCGGCTTCATCAACTTCGCGGACGAGGAGGAGGTGCGGGCGTACCTGGAGAACCTGCACGTGGAGTACAGCTACCAGTGCTTCAAGGAGAAGGACCCGGACGGTAAGGCCCTGCCGCCGCTCCCGGCCGCCGCCGCGGGGCCGGCGGGAGGCTCAGCCCGTGTGCCGTGCCTTGCAGGCTGCCAGCGCTTCGCCGATTACCTGGACGCCGTCAGGAAGGACTTCGTGGCGGCGGCGCGGGTGCTGCGCGACAACTGCGAGGTGCACGGGCACAGCGAGAGCTGCTACAAACTGGGGGCTTACCAGGCCCTCGGCAAAGGTGCGCAGGGGGGTTCTGGGGTTCGGGCCGCTGGTGACTCCACCGCCTCCCCGAGCAACCTGCTCCGATTGCTGGCCACCCGCACACCTGCCTGTCCTCCTGACCTTGAAGGAGCAACTACCTGTCCCGCCCCTTTCATGGTCACCTCATAAAAGTTGGAGAAGGATGCAAAACCTAAAATTGCTTCCTTCTGAAAAATCAGCTTTATGTTAACTATGTATTATTTTTTTATAATTGCAACTGTTTGACAGGTACGTGCAGCCAGTGCTCAGTGTTGCTGCATATTCAGTTCACAGCATTTCTTCTTGTCAGACAGAAGAAAGTAAGAAAGAAGGAAACTCAAAGACTAGTAATATGCATGCCTCAGTAGTCCCCAAGGCTGTTCAAAATGTATTTGCTGGCACAGTAATGGAAAGCACTTAAATTAGTCAGAGATCTCTCAAATGAAGGTACTGGTAAGGAACAATATTATTACTGTAGTTCAAATCCAGTAACAATCTTGGTGTATACTGGCAAAATAATATTTGCCTAGTGTAAGATATTAAATCCATGGATGGAAAGAGTGTTTTGTGGATCTGGGTTATTTTTTGGATACCAGTGCTGTTGTGCTTACTGGTGAGTGGGGGACAGTTTTCTAAGTCAAAGACGTTAGCAGAATGTTTGTCACTGAGACAATGGCGGTGTCTCTGAAGTCCTAAATGTTGAGTGTAGTATCTAAAGTGATGGATGCTGTGTTTCCAGTGGGAAGCACCCTGCAAAGCAGAAAGCTCCCAGCTGTTTTAACGTGTCCTCACAGCAATGTCTTGACTGACAGGTGGACTCAGCCCAGATTTGAAAGCTGCCTACAAATCCTTCATCAAGTCGTGTGAGAAAGGTGGGAAGAAGTCAGCAAATGCGTGTCACAGCGCTGGGCTGCTGGCCCAGGACGGGAGAGCCAACGGTGATCAGCCTGACCCTGGCGCTGCTAGAGACTATTACACAAAAGCCTGTGATGGCAATTTTGCTCCCAGCTGCTTCAACCTGAGTGCGATATACCTGCAGGGAGCTCCTGGGGTCCCCAAGGACATGAGCAGTGCCTTGAAGTACTCGCTGAAGGGCTGTGAGCTGGGGCACGTGTGGGCTTGTGCCAACGCCAGCCGCATGTACAAACTGGGAGATGGCGTTGAGAAGAATGATGCCAAGGCAGAGGAGCTGAAAAACAGGGCAAAACAATTGCATAAAGAACAGAAAGAAGCTGAAAGTTCTCTAACATTTGGGGAGTAAAACTGGCAGATGCAGATATTAAGACTGGTTTTTAAATGGCAAGCGAACTTGTTATTTAAATTGTGAGAGTACAGTTTTCATTTAAATAAATATCCTGTATTTGGATATGCAAATAAAATTATATTTATATGGATACAACAAATTACTATCTCTGCTGTGCATTTCTATGTTTTTGAACACACAAGTTCTTGAGTGTGTTTTGCTTAGATCCTTCTCTTCCCAAGCCAAAAACTTGTGGTCTTTTGGGAGATTTTCCGTGTGGTTTTGAGCACAAAGGATTTCTTTTGTGTCCAACACTTCAATATCCAGGTTTGTGCTCTGACCAGTTCTAACACACAAAAATGACAGCTGCAGGTAATCCCAGCTTGGGCAGTCTGAACGGTTGCATCTCTCACAAGCATTTTCAGAACTTTGATAGCTGCACCCTTGTGTGAGCTGCTCTAAGGCATGGGTATTCCTCTGTAATTCCATAGGTCTAGGCCAATTCCTAGCTCCCTTGATTCCTCCAGCTGCCACCTGGTTTGTGAGTGTGTATCTGCCTGTCATATGTGCCTGGGTGCTTCAGGCTGCTTTCCCAACACAAAATTGCCCCTTATTTGATCCCACACAAATCATTTTACCCTCCTGCTAGCTTCTGGAACATTATGTTCTATTTTCTCTAGGTCAGATTTAGGGAACAAGGTGCTAACTCATCAGATCCTGGACTCAAATCCATAACCTATATATATGCAAACTGTAGCTAAACATACAGATTCTGAAACAGCTGTTTAAATAAGCAGGGCAGTGTTTGTAAATATATTTGTGCACTGACAGGATCCTTTGTAGTTTTGGTGTGTGTAAATATATTGTGAAATGTATGTTTTGCTGTAAGTTTACTACTCAGAACCTGAATCCTCTGGCTCTGGACTTAATAAAGATACAAACTTCACTATTGAAATAAGTGAAGTGGGATTAAAACCAACATTACTTTGGCTGTGGGCACGAGTGAAAGCAGAGTTGTTGGAATCTCGCTGCATGCATGAATTAAAGCAGTTCTTCCAATTTACCAGAGTTCTTGGGAAGGATGTTTGCTGCTGGAACAGAAACCCGAGCTGCACAGCACAGCAGTGATACAGGCACCCTGTAACAACAGATGGCAGTGTGTGAAAACTGCACACTGGTGTGGCTCTGGTGCAGCCTGGAAAAAAAACAAATAGTGGTGGCAAAATCAGAGTAATTTTTCTGTTAGCAGTTTTTATTTTTTTGGCAGTTCAAAAAGGCGAAGCTCTTAGAGGAACACTCTTTGCCTGATTTTTTGCTAGGTACTGTTCTGGACATTTGTTTCACTTGGGAAAGGTAAGTAAATGCTACTTCTGTGGAGTGTTAACAGTAGTAATAAAACAGTTTGGAATCTGTGTGTTCTGGAGTAGGCAATTACAGGTGGGTCAAGGCACCGGAGAATTGGGTGGTATTTTAAGCCCTGTAATGCTCACTGCCAGAGTGCCTTGTTCAGATCCTCAGCCCAAGCACTAGAGCAGTTTTCTTCCAGCAGGACTAATGACTGTCAGTGATCCTGCCAGGAACTTCCAATCAACACAGCAAACAGGCACCACAGAACATCCTCAGCAGAGTAACACTCACTGTGGATAATTAAAGCCACATATAAAGTGCATGTTGTGGGGAAAGTTTTTTGTAGCACTTGAGAGCTCACAGACTTGCAGAGCTTAAATACTATAAAGCAAACCATTTTCATAAAAGCTGTGAAGTATGTAAGATAAGTTTATGAAGTGTCATCCAATTTTGCATCACTGCTTGAAAAGGCAAACGCAAATCAAGGAAGACTTGTGTTTTCAGGCTGTCTCTGAGCAGTTTGCTGCCTGCTCTGGGCACACCTATATCTTTTTTGCACAAATATTGATGACAGATGCATTTAGATAGCTAATACCCTCACCTACATGACTCTTTTCCCTCAAAAGTGACAAAACATCCAAAAAAGGTCAGCCAGTCTCATTTCAGTGTATTATTAATTATATGTGCTTAATGCAGTCTGTAGCAGAGTATCCGCTCTATGAATAGCAGTCTATTCTCAGCCTCAAGATTCTGTTCAGGAGACATAATCAAACTCTTTAGAGCTGAAAATTTTCCTGCAAATCTTGGCTTGTAACCATCTTGCTCTGATATTATGGAGGTAATACCAAAAGACCAATATCTTCCTGCTCTTTTTTTCACCTGATGTTAAATGAGGCCAAATTTTATGTTCTCCTGGAGGAAAACTTTCTTCAAAGCCCCTGAGGTCATAAAGAGAGAGTCATAGATATGTGATCATAGCAGAATAGTTGGAAATGTGGAAGAACCTGTTGATCTCTCCAGGATCAGTGGGTTTTCTAAGAAATAAAGGAGTTTATCTCAGCTTCACAGCTCCTAAACCACTGTCTGCTTTCCCTTTCATTTGTTTGCATTGATCTAAGCATACAACCATTAACAAAGCAGCAATATACTTCAGAAGGAGCCAACCCTAATTAATTAAATAGACATATGAATACATGGCTGTAAATGATGAAAGCATTCTCTGCAGGATGCTTCCTGCAGCTGTGAAAAGATCACCAGTGAAGGGCTGGTTTTGAACTGAGATTAAATACTGGCACCACATCATGTGTCATTAAGTATAATTTGGATTAATCCTGGACAAAAGATGCTGTTGGGTAAAGAAGCCACATGATTTTGTAGAAAAAGGGAATCGTTCTAGTGGTTCTGTTTATGTGCTACATTGTAATAAAAGCAGTTTTGCAGCTTGCTGACCTTTTGTTCAGCCATTGGTAACAACTCCTCTCTGCAGTGTGTGTGTGAAGGGAGTTCTTGTGGCTCCCAGAGGGATGGTCTGGGAGATTTTGTGTCATAATCACACCAAGAAACAAAAATAGCAGTGTTCCTTGTTATAGGACAAACTTTTTGTTCAGTACAGAAAGAAATTCACTCTGTAGGCAATTTTTCACTTTATCATGTGAGACAGAAGAAATCCCAAGTAGCTGTTCTTCTCATTTGGTAGGTGGAGAGGGAAGAATTCCTCCTTCCCTTGTGCTTCCCAGCATCTCCTCCACTAAACCTCAGAGCAACACAGCTCTGCTCAGGGCTGGCCTTTTTTGGGGGGTGAAGCAAGAAGAGAAAGGAAGGAAAAGGAGTCATGGCACAGCAAAAAAACAGATCAGGAAATAAGCAATAAATCTGGTTGTATCATTATTGCAGTAATCTGTGCTGGGGTAACACCCAGGGGTTCAGTTCAGATCCTGACATTATGCCATTTGTGTGCCCCCATAATGACACCCCTGATCCAGAGATCCACAGTCTAAGATTCAGGATTGTCCAAAGTCCCTTGCACATATTTCAGTACTAAACACTGGTACCATGCTCTCATTTTCAAGATTCTGTATCAACAATATGGCCCAGAATCCACAAAAAACAAATTTTCCCAAGAATCTTTAGACTATAAGGATCAAATCTGTGCCAACTTTTTTTATGCTTGATTTCATTTGCCAGGTCTGTAGCCTCCCAGTTCTTTCATTTTACTGTATCCATACTTGAAGCAAGCACAATAACCAATAATTACACTAATTTTAGACTATATCACATATTTCTTATTTGTTGTTATTGCCTTCTACCCTTAGTATTAGTTGCAAATTACCATTGTTATGTTTGTTCCGAATGTGTTTTATACTTCTTACAGACACAGTTTTTTTCAGTCTTGTTTGTAATACCATAAAATGGTTCTGTAAAATGTAAAAAAAATTTTTGTAATCTTTTTATCCTAATCAACTAATCAGACATTTGTATGCTATGAAATTATAAAATTTAGGCCACTTTGGAGTGGTGATTTCAGATGGAGATTTGTGAACAGCATAATTGCAATGCATTCATGTGCTTGAATTCACGAGTGTGGTGGGAGTGCTCTGTAAGTTCTCATTCTGTCTGTGCAAAACTGAAAAACAGTGCTTTAAACGTACCCTGGAGAGTTTTTCTTAGCAACTGATAAAAAAGAAGAAAGAAAGAAGATGAAAAAGCCCCACATGTTTATACAGCAGTTGTCACCCACAGGATTCCAGTGCACTTCACTGAGTCCTATCCAGCTCCATACAGATCTGGGGCAATAAAGCCACCAAAGGAAAATGTTGTTGTTTGGCTGTGAAGAATTTCATATCCTGGAGATGAGGCTAACCTGAGTTTATGTTAGACATAACATGTCCTTATTCTGACAGTCCTCTTTTGACACATAATTGCCTGCTGTGCACATTTCATTTTCACCAAAACCACTGAAAAGAAGTGGGCTGGTTTCCTTCCAGCTCTCCTGCCATTGGAAGCACGCCATGTTCCTACAGAGCTTCCTGCCCAGAAAACTCTTGTTGCTTTGCAACAACCTTTTCTGCAAACTCCTGAGAAGGAAACCTGGATTTTGTCTTTAGTTCAGGATGGGAGGACAAGCCACGGAGCAGCTACTGACTCATTGCAGGACACACGATGTCAGTAGGGACCCAAACTGATTATTCTCCAAATGATATTTAGCAGGGCAAGGACTTATCAATTCTTCACAAGCCAAGAAACACTAAGATGGGAAACTGGCCTTTGAATGCTATTCTGATAATATTTATGGACTATTATTGCAGACACATGTGACAGCCACGTCAGCACAAGTGTTATCAATAACGGCTGAAGAGAAAACAAGAGGCTGTGACATTGTCAACACTGCAATCAGCCCTTCAGAGAAGTTATTTTCTGTGCCTTTTTAAGTGATATGTTTTCTCCACAGCATTGTTTTACTTATTTGTTCTGCAGCTGACACAAAAGCAATACAAAATATCTTCCTTGTCAGGAAGGCTCAGAGTGACATCAGCTGTCACAGGCACCCAAACCTGCCTCAGACTGGCAGCTCACATGCTGGGGTATTCATGAACAGACAGTGGCCCTCCGAGAGATTATGTACCATTTGAGGTTAAAAACTTCAGATATTTTGGAAATCCTGAGCTTATTCTAAATTCTTTTCTGCTGAGTTTTGTGAGTTTTATATGTTCCTCAGAACTCAGGGATTGATATCAGAAGATGCCATGGGACTGACATTGTTACAAAAGCCACAGAATATGTGAACAAATTCAATACAAGTGAAGGTTTCTGCAGGAGCAGCACAGGACTTGTTACAGCAAACAGTGAAAACTTCCCACACCCTTTAACTCTTAACCAAAACATCTCTGCAGTGTACCTGGCTTGATAATTTCTGTTTTCTGTGTACTGCAGCCCAAGTGTGATGTTTGCTGACTGTTCTGTTTATTGCTCCCACAGCAGGGTATGGACATTTCCAGATCACACTATCACACTGTAGTGACAATGCTGATCCACTGATGCTTTAAACTGCAACACAAATCAACAGTTAGTTAATATAGCTCTATAAATAACAGGAGATAGGTGATCTCTAGTGACTGGTTCTAATTCTCTATGACCTTTCTTTCCTAATCTAATGCCATCCTGATATGTGTGTCAAACTAAAGCCTAGGGTCAGAGAGTATTTTCTTAGGCAGTACCTGTACCTTTTAGGCAAGAATTTAAAGGTTTCAACCCTTTCAAATAAAGGATGATTTTGCTTTAGATATTGTACAGTTACAAGTTGCAACCTAAGGCCATATTTATACACCAGAGCCCTGGAAATATATATATATATATACACACACACACACACTATTTTCCCCATTATAATCTTTGGGGAACAATTTCAATAAATGGTTTTGTTCTATGATTTGAATAAATAAGTAACCTCCTACTTGATTTCAGTGACTATTTTCCCCGTGCATTTTTCAGAATAATTGCTGTCATCCCACAGGCAAATACATTACAACAATCAATGAGAGCTTTGAGCCAAACTGTGGAAAAGTTTTGTGTCTTTGAAGCTCCAGTCGAAACGTTGCCCTCCAGAGAGCCAAAGGCAAGGGCAATTGGCAGGGTGCAATTCCAGCATCATGCACACAACCTGGGAAAACGGCATCCAGAGGCAAGGCAGGACCTGGTGCTGAGGGGCTGCAAGTCCAGGCTGCTCACACCTTGCTTGGTGTTCTCAAAATGCATTAATGTTGCTGGGGACAAACAGAGGGTGACAGAAAGGAAGGTAACATCTTTTGATGTGTAAAGTATGAAAGAACAAAGCTTTTTGATTCAGTTCCTGTTCACTTGGCTGAACCAGAGATATTGTGAGGCTTGGAAACAGATGTACCCTTGAAAACTAATTACACTGAAGCTTAATGCTTGAAAATTTTCTTTCAGGAAGGTCCTTGTGCAATTGGGGATTTTGGGCTATTTCTCTGCTTTTGTCCTGCCACTGCAAATGGATGAGATGAATGTGTGGAGGGGAATTGATTGAGTACTGTCTGTGCTTGGAGGCTTGAGCTAATAAGTGACAAACATAAATGCTGTTTCTTGTTAGAGCCTGCTATGTGCAATCCTGCTCAGCCCATGAATACAGCTAAAACCAAAGGGGCTCTGCACAATTTCTGCAGCACATCAAGCACCAGCTGCCCCCACCTGGGACCTATGTGATTGCTTTGGGGGGCTGCTGGAGTGTAACTCAGCTTGGCCCAGTCACTCCAAAAGGACAGCTCATAGCAGGGCTGGTGAAGATAAACAGGATCTTTTAAAAGAGTAGAGTCTGAAAAGAAGGGCAGCTTCACAACAGAAATGATCAGGAATAAATTGCATAGGAGAGGAACTATTTCCAGCCGGAACCTACTTGTCCTTATACAAAATGAGAGCACGTGATTAATTAATTTTGAAGCAAATTCTATTTTTTCTCATTGCTCAGGCAGTAAACCAAAAGGACAAGTAATTTAATTTGGCCATTGAAGCATCTTTTGATATCAGGAAAGGGGCATATCAAATGCTTTTTCCTGATGTCTCCAGAGTGCAGCAAGAGCTACAGTTATACTGTGTGCAACACGGAGCCTGGGAGGATTCCTCAGAGATGCTGGACTGCCTTGTTTAGCTCTGGAGATAAACAGGTGATCCTTTTTTCCTGCTATGCCTGTTCCTAAAGGAAATTATCTCAATCCTAATTTAATGAAGGAGCCAGATCCAGATCATGGCATATTCAGATCATGTATTTTCTGGAATAGAATCCCAAATCAGATCAAATTAGTCCTGCAAGGTATCTGCAAGTTGTCTGGACAACCTGAAATAGAAATCTTGCACAATCCAAGATCTCCCCTGTTAATTAACCCTGCAATCCCTATGGAGTGAAGCTCCAGGCAGGAATATGACTCTATGGCATAGAGTGGGTGTTGATGGGCATTTATTAAATAAGGTCCAGGCTTAAACCCTGTGTGGGGCAGAAGAGGTGAGGGTTGGGACAAAGATATAGCCTTTCCTCACTGGCTTCTTCACTTCCCATCTGTAGCCAGGGTTGAGCCAGTGGCTAGGTGCACACACACACAGAGAGACACATCTGAATTTTGGAGACTGAGGGAGTTTTTGAGCTCAGATCCAGCTGTGCATTTACTTGATGCTATTGCAATAGCTGTTTGAAGATTTTTGAGAACCCATTAAGGGCTGAAGAGTACCCCAGCACTTTGGATTGCAGGCAGTCTGAGTGCTCTGAATGGATAAAAGACTAGAACCAGACATCTCTATTAAAAAAAAAAAAAAAAAAGAACTCTAGCCCCACAACAAAATCCAAATGTTCTCAGGATCGAATGAGCCTTTTGTGCTCCGTCCTCTCTACATGCTGCTCAGCTGTGTTTTTTTATTTTCCTGAGGGAGGACTGTTCCCTTGGCTACCATGCTGGCCCCTAATAGTTGGCATTTGGGCACAGGATGAAAACATTGCTCTGTTTTTCTTTCATTCCTGCAGGAGTGGTGGGAACACAACTGGGAGAGGTTTCTGGTAGGCAACAGCTCCAGATGATAGCACTGAACCAAGCCAGGCGATTGTGCCCTCCCAGGCACTGCTCCAGGCGATCTCTGCATTCCTGCTGGCCACTGCTTTGCCAGAGAAGAGCTAACAGGAGGTGAGGCTTGAAGTGCTAACAGGAGGTGAGGCTTGAAGTGCTAACAGGAGGTGAGCTTTGGGCTTGTGTCTGTGCCCTCCTGCACTGCAGGCAGCGCAGAGCCCCTTCAGCTGCTGCGTTTCCTTTCAGCCACAGGCAGCAGCAGTGCCTCATGTGCAGCCCCATGCCAAGAGGAGGGCAGGTCGCTGCAGACACAGCTAATGCCTGGCAGCTGTAAGCAGCATCATTAATCTTGCTGGCTTTCTATTTTAAGGACATTGTTGCTTCTGCATTAGAGGAATTAGAATAGTCTTGTCTCCTCTTGAGATCTCAAGGTCCTGCCTTCATTTGCCATTATGTGCTCTGTGAAACTGTTTCATTAAAGCTTCCACACAGTGACCTTTGCACAATAACCTGCTCTCTGTAGTCCCTCCGTGGTCTAGGCTGTTCTCATTTAAATTATGTTTCTGTGGAGGGAATCAAATACATCTTTTTCTCTACTTAAATGCCTGGAGCAAACTAATGTTCTTCTGCAGTCATGAAATGCAACAAAGGGACCATGATTGCAAGGGTAGGTGAGGCTTGCAGTTTCTGTGGAAACTGGAGACCAATGTGATGAAAGGGGCAGAAGGGGAAAGCAAGAACACAGGTCCACCAGATGAATAGAAATGATTGTACCTCAGACAGAAGTTGAGAAAATGAGGCAATAAATGTGAGTGGATGAAGAGTTAAGAGTCTGAATAAGCAGCCTGACATGGTTTTCCAGTTCTAATCCAGTAATTGTGCCTCTGAAGGTTTGCTTGATGAGATGCAATATAGAATTTATTTACTAGGTAGCTGGGAACCTGGTAAGGACTTGAAGTGACTTATAACACAGAAGTAATAAGTACACCACTAATTTGGGATTGGGAGAAAAAGAGAAGTCACAAATAGAGAAAGGCTCTACTGCTTTTATTATTTTTCCCCCTATTTTCTGTGGTGGCCATACCAGATACAGATATGACCAAACCTGAGAATTCAGGGACAGGCCTGGTGCTCAGGTAGATCAATCCCATCTTTGTAAGCAGGACTGCTGGCTTTGCCCACCAGAAAGGCTCAGAGGACAGAGAAGGCAACTTGTGGAGAAGGAGCATGGGAAGCACTGGTGCAGGAGCTGCACTCAGGGTTAGCTGCTGTACAGGAATTTGCAGTGTTTCAGCCCAGCTCAGGAACAGAGGGGAGGTGATTAGCAGGTTGGTTTGCTGAGCCTGTGTGACCTGAATTGAAACCGAGCTATAAGGGGCCTTGCAGTTCTACACTCTGGTTCTCTGTCTTTAGCCAGAATTATCCGTATTTATTACATCTGAGACCTGTCTGCTTAACCTCTACCAGAGTCTTCAGTCACTGCATGCAATTTTTTCCTGTGTTTACTAAACTTTCCAGCAGAGAACTCATTATTTCCTCAACCACCACAAATACAATGCTGTAAAAGAATAATATGGAAGCAAGCAAGAGCAACCCAGCAGCACAGAAGCAGGAGGCCCAGCAGTCTTTGGCCTCCTTAGGCCCTCTATTACTTATTTAGTTCAAGTTGATTGCAGTAGGGTGCTGTTTACAACCAGGTGAAGAACAAGAGCCCTTCCAGCACTCTGGGAGTGAAGATTTGATTCTTCAGCATCAGAGAAGACAGCTAGCAGGGGGTCAGTGTAAAAATGCAGCTCATTGCAATGAGGGAGAGAGGCAGAAAAAATGAGAGCAGCTTCTGGTACTAGGGATAAGGATCATCTCAGATTTATCTTTCAACTGTGTCAAAGTGTAACTGCTCTTCAGGTTTTATTGTTAGTGCTGTCATTGCAATAATACACTAGAAATGAAATGCTTTATTTACTGATAAGAAAAGAGATTTATCCACCATGTGATATGCTGCTATTTTCACACAAAGATTGTATCAGAAGTCCCAGACAGCTGAATAGTATCTGGAATTAGAGAAAAGCAAATAGTGGCAACCTGCTGCTCCCAGCTTCTGTCCAAGTAGAGATGCTAAAATGTGCACTAAATCCTGATTTTTTAAAAACACTTTTACAGAAAAATGAAAGCTCTCCAATGGCTGTGGTCCAATTCCCCAGAAAAGAGGATCCAAGGCAGCCTTTCCATTGCTGGCACAGACAGCCCTGCTCTGTCACCTCCCCGAGAAGCAAAACTAAAAACCAAACTTGTTGATCTGAATAAGCAGCCTGACATGATTTTCCAGTCCTAATTCGGTAATTGTGCCTCTGAAGGTTTGCTTGATGAGATGCAATATAGAAAGATACACAGTCCTTTGCAAAAGTTGGTCCACAGGTCATTATTTCAGCCAAAAATTTCCATTTCAAAGGAAATCAGAGGAAACACAGTGAAGACCATGTGAAAACAGAACTCACCCACCCAGCCAGCCCAGTAAAAGGCTCCTGGTGTGACCCAATGAGTCAGCTCATTTTCTTTCAAGCAACTCACTTAGCAGAAGGTCTCAAATCACTTTCGCTGAACAATTCTCTTAGATTTCCACGGAATAAAACACCAGATCCCATTTGCACAGTCTGCCATTTCCTTTTTGCATTAAAACTCTGAGTTGCCCTTATCAGGTCAGGGCTGCCTTATCACCTTCCCCAGAAATGCTTCAGTCCTATATATAACAAGATTAATATTCACTGCACCCCTCAAGTCTTGGAGCTCACAATTTAAAGTTCCAAGTGCTGCCTTGGTAGCTCCAGCAAACACTAGGAAGGATTTCCAGGATCTCTGTAGCTCCTAAACCCCTTGGCACAGGCCTCCCAAGTACAGCAGTGCTTTTAGGGAGCAGCTCTGGCCATGGGCTTATCCCTGTGGATGTAGAGACCAACAGCCCCAGTGGGAACACCAGGGGTAAGAAACCACTGCTCCCATTTAGCTCAAGATCATGAGTATTGGCACCAGTTACAAATGCAGCCTAATGAAAAGCAAAGCTGCAGAAACACGTTTTATCATCGACTCAAAAGAGAAATCAATATGTTCATGTATATTACAGGCAGCAATCTCCATTAAAAAGCAAAGGGGTGAGACAATAATGTTCTTCATACTTGCTAAGATCCTACAGTTTTTAAACGTTTAAGCCTCTCTGTCAAAAACTGGGTTCATATAAGAGATCAGCCCAATCCATCTGCTTTTACTGACTCCTGGAAACTTACAGCCAACTACCAGGCCCTGCTGGGAAGGCACTTTTCCCAAAGTATGTGGAGGTCTGCAAGGAAGAGAGAGGTTTTTGCCTGTGAATGGTTCAGAGCACCCAGCAGATGCAGTGAGGTTCAATTTGCCCATACTGACACTTTGCATTTGCTTACTTAAGAAAATAAAATTGCATTGAGGGGATTTGTGTTTCCTTGATTGCCAGGAGATTGAATGGGGGCTGTTTGGGTCAAATGAACAATTTTAAGTGCAGTGTTTTGTGCAGGTGTCTTTATTAAAATAAAATGATAATTAAAAAGAAATCAAAAGAAACATCCTGAGTCACTAGCAGCCTGTCTGTCTTGTAATCACTTGTGGTCTAATTTACTGAAATTTATTTCTGAAATGAAAATTTATTGGGATGCCACTTAAAGTAATTTCACTGCTTTCCTTCAGGAAGCAAAAAAGTAGAAAGAATTAAGCTGGTCAGAGCAAAAATTCTGTCAAAGGAGGCAGCAGACATGGCAGGAGTCACACACTGCCCTGGCTCTGCTAGGCCAGTGAGTGCACCTTTGCACAGCTGCAGTCTGCCCCAAACAGCTGCTCATCATAGAGTGGCAAAAGCCACTACAAGAAATTAACTGTGACATTTGCTACAACAGCTACATGAGACACTGGTACATTTTGTTATTGAAAACAAGGAGCTTTCCAAGTGGCTCTGGTCACAGATTGCATTATGCACGTTAAATGTCTGTGGCAGCAGGAGTACCAGACAGTAGGTGGAGTGAGGAACATGAACTGAGAAAAGGCAGCAAAATTCCCTAATACAGGCAGCAAAACCACCAGCAGAGACTCACTGCCAAGTTCACAATGAGCTGGAAGCCACAGCTCTACAAAGGTGTCAGCACAACCACTGTGTCTCACAGTACAGGAACTATAAAGTACCTAGGGCAGTCCTGAAAAGTAGAAATGTGTTAACTAAGGAACACAAGGAAGATTTGAAGAAGTCATCTCTAACTATGATGTCAAAGTACTACTTTTACATTTGCTGGTATCTCAGAGAAAACACTCTGGGGAGGAAAATCTTCTGTACTCAGGAGGTCACTCCAATGAACCTGGAGTACAAGCAAGGATTGACATTTTAAGTAGAGGGCAGGGCCCCCAACACTGCTTTCAGCTTTGGAAATTCTAAGTTACCTTATAGTTTGTGGTACTTTGCAAGAAAATTCTGAAAAACTTGTTAAAACCAGGCATAACTAACTAAAAAGCATGTGCTTTGTTTTCTTTAGTGTGTCTTTAGCTTTGGCTCTGACAAACCACTGAAATGTTTAAGCCTGTGCTTTCACAAAACAAGCCAGGCTCACCCCTACATGGGTGGCCTGACAAAGCATCTGGAGAGCTGCAAGATGGGTGCTGCCCTGTTGTGCAAAGCCAGGACTCACCAAGGTTCTCCTGCCTCCTGTCCTGGCATTCTGTGCTGCAGGTTTGGCCCCAAGTGCTATTCACAAGCTAAACCACAAAATCCGGCAGTGCCGCCCTTCACACCATGAGGAGACAAACTGATGTGGGGACATTCACACCTCAGCTTGCACAGGAGTCATCCCAAAGGATAGAAACACATTTTTTATTATATACTCTGTACATAAAAACGTTGCATCTAATTGAACATCTTCTATCTAAAATAAATGCTTGGTACCTTTCTGCAAATTCAATGGAAGTCAGAGTAAGCCCATCTGTTTTCATCTCTGGGACTAATATTGCTTCCTCCATTTCATTAATGTGCATTTATCCTGCTCTCCCTTGCAAGGGAAATGCAGCAAGCCTGAACTTTGATTAGGAGCAATCAGAAAACATCCACACCTGCATGTAGGCAGTGGGAGGCTTTTCAATTGGAAATGGATTTTGAGAACATAATGTCTCTGTTTTGAAAGGGCAAATGCATCTTTCAAGGAATACAAGCAATAAAAAACATTCAAGTATTGTGTTTCTTCAAGGATAGTAATGCTATCACAGAATCAAGTGCCTTAATTGCTGAAGTGATTAATTTCTGCTCTTTGGAACTAAATACATTCAATGTTACTAAAGAAGACCTGGAGAGTTTTCAAAAGCTGGATGATAGCACAGACAGTGCTTATCGTCTGTCCAAAACAAGGTGTCCTTTCTCTTGCCCACTTTAGGTTCAAGAGGCAGATGCAAGAACTGTGGTGTGGGCACCTGCAGTGCCACTACAGCAGCCCAAAGAGCACTGCAGCAGGGCAGGGCATGGAGGAGCAGGCTGATTTCTGCTGGAGAGAGCAGCCTGGCAGGGAAGCAGTGCCTAACTGAGATAAGTGGCTTTTATTCATTCTGTTTCTGAGTCTCTACTATCTTTAATGCTTGTTGAAATAAAGGTTTTGGAAGCAAAGTCTTCCCTGATGGTGTAACTTTCTCGTCTTTTGGTTAAATTCTAAGGATGTTTCTGCTCCTCATTTTTCAGGTGCCCAGGAAAGAGGGAGGAAGGCAAGATTTACTATTCCCATAACACCTAAATATAAACTGTAATCAGATTTATAAACAACATCTACAGACTTCTTTCATAAGCTATAAAAAGCTTTGCAAAGTACATCTGTGCACTTCGGTTTCCTTTTCATAGTCTTTCACCTTTGCTTCTATTTCCCTAAATAGAAAGATAATAGTATTAATCTATTCCTTGGGGCTTTTGTGAAGATTCACAATTAATATTTATGCAGTAAAATGAAGTAAATGCTGCATAAGTGCTGAGCATCATTATTGTTCTCTTTCTCTCTTCATTAGCACACCATGTACGTGCCAAGTAGAACAGATAAACACAGAAATTAGCTGCCCTCAAAGCCAGGCAAGTGAGAAAGGTAACATGAGTGCTAGAGGGCCATTAATTAAAAATGTTTGCTGTGGGTGACATCTGTGGCAAACAAAACAACCCTCTGAGATTTAAAGAATTAAATATGTTTCTTTACACATTTGAGCAAGTTCTGTCTGCAGCAAAGAAGTTCTGGGAATATTTTCAAATTAAATATGCAGCATACACTCCCACAGCAGCTGCATCTTAAACAGGAATCCACCTGAAGCACCAAGTAGGTTTTGCATTGTAAAACCTGGAAACCTCAGTGATTCTTTCCAGATGTCATTTATTTCCTTTGCTTATTACTACATGTGTGTTTTCCAAAGCACAACTCACATGGAACTGCCTTCACCTTTGCAACTACTACAGTAGCCAATCTCCATTTCTACAGGTTTTTGATGCAGGAATTTGGATTAGTCCCAACATGATCAGGACTTTTCATTTGTCCATCTCAGCCATGCTGGCCTGCAGAGCTGAGGTGGCCATGCCCTTCAGAGCAGGAAGGTTCTGCACAGATAACTTCAAAGATTTTCTCTCTAGGAGTATCTGGGTATCTGATGGAATCTAATTAACCCTAACACAGACAGCTATTTAAAAAGTAGTGAACAATTTCATGCTCTCAGCATTTGTACTTGTATATGTAGGAATATCCTAAAGGAAAAGGAGAAAGTTTCATTGTGAATGCTGTCCACTAATTTGCTTGATATTTTCCTTTCAAGAGGAATAATGTCCAATGAGAAGCAGTGGAAACTGCAAATGGTGTGTAAGAACAAGTGTAATATGCAGCTGTAAATTAAAATGCCCATTTGTAATGGGTAAGAGCTAGTAAAAGAAACTCAGCGAAGCAGGACAGCTTTGCTCTTATCAAAATCAGAGCAGAATCTGCCTGTCAGAAAACAAAATATTTCTTGCTCAAGCAGATCATTATGCTGCTTTTTACACGCTTTGCATTTCCTAACCACTCCTTAAAGCTCTGCTCTGTGACAATCCATAGCAATCCTTAACTAGAACTGCAGACTGCAAGAGATCTCTACCAATTAACACCAAATAGTAATGAAGGAGAAAAACCATTTTAAAAATGAGAGACTAATTGTAGCAGCAATTGTTAAGTGCAGTTGCCTTGCAGGACTCTCAGAGGAATCCAGAATGGAAAGCCTTGTGTTACAGCCCCCACCTGATGCTGGGGGAGACACTGCCTTTAACCCATTTTTGCTGTGTTCTACCTATTTTGCTTGTACAGCAGGGTTTGGGTTGGGAGGAATGGATTGGGTGGGGAGTTATGGTTGATGTAGACTTAAAACTAGGTTAGTTCATATTTAATTTTTTTTTTTTAAATTGTGAATATTCCACCTTATAGGAGCACAGAAGGTGATTGGTGCTAGAAGCCCCACAGTTGTGATGAGAAGGAGGGAGGACTTAAGTGCCATGGCTGGTGCAAGCCTAATGCCAAAAGAAGGGGATAAGACAAGGGGACCTGAAAGAGACTGGGAGCAGGAAAGTGTAATGAAGTTACTGCATGGACAGGATTAAATGACTAAAAGTCATAAAAGTCACAGAAATCATGCTAAAGAAACTGGAATTGTGAACTTGGCTCCTAAGCTTCCTAATGTCCTTACCTATCCCAGTATCACTGATATGCTCATTTGCATAAAAGGATGCTTTATTTTATAACAGCAAATTATTTGTCAGCTGGCCTCTGCATCTGCTCCTTGGCAATTTAGATTAATGGCATTAATGGCTTTTCTTTAAAGAAATTGTTGCAGCTTTCCCTTGGTGCCAAAAGAAGGATGTCTATTGTTCTTCATGCTATAATTTTTAAAAGCCTAAGATGTTTTTTGATTTGCTTAAACTGAGAATATGAGTAGCAAAAGAGAATTAAATTTGCATTGCATAAAATAAAGATGAAAGCGCTTTGATGGAGTCTTGATATACACTTAGGAAGCATTTTTAAAATACCCATATTCCCAAAATGTACATAGACACATTGAGAATCAGTTGCTTGTTCAAAGGCTAATTTATTATAATTTATACTGTTTGGCTACTGAAACAATCTGTTTTCTTCTTCCTGTAAGGTTTTAGATAATCTGAAAGGATCAAAGTGAGATGTTTGTTCCAATGGATGTAGCTATCCACTATCAGAAGCTTTTTTGTGCTTCTGGATAAGAATTTTATGCCCAACAATAAAGATGGTCCCATATTTAGCTAACTTGCAACACCCCTTTTTTTTTGGAGGGTGCTGGGCCAGTTCCATAGGAGGACTGCTCATGGTCTGTACATAATCTGGCAGATCCATGAACATCCTGTTAATTAGAGCTGCTTTTGTAAATTCAGGAATAAAGTAGCCTAGTCCCTGTCTCGCTGAAATACCAGATACAGTAGCTTATCCATTATTTGTGCTTCAAGTTCTTTATTTCATCCTGGTGATGAAGGCTACAATCTTCATCAAAACTCCAGGCAAACATGGAGAATTCAGGTACCAAGAGCCAGTGGCCTGGTGTATTGAGGAAGGCAAGAGGAGAGCAGCTGGCTGTGGTGAGTGGGCCGAAGGCAGTGCCCAGGCTCTACACTTGGATACCTTCTCTTGTAATCCTCTGGCACATCAGAATAGGGCTTTCAGCTTTTTAATCAGTGGTAAAATAGAGAGACAATCCAATTTGTTCATTGTCTGGGAAGAAGAAGAAAACAACACTGCTACAATTGTGTTGAACAATTTTGTTTTCATGATCTCCATATCTGTATTGCTGATTAATTCACATTTCCAGCTGCCCTTCACATTTTTCCATTAATTTACTTCACTCTAATAATTTTTTATCTTTTAAAACTTGATTTGACTGGAGCCATTTTTTTCTCAGCTAATTCTGATTGTTTCTAATTTGGAAGGCAAAGGCAGATATGGCTTAGCACAACATTAATATCCCTCAACACTCTTCACTTTTCATTTGGCCACTGGAGAATTCTTTAGTGGCTGAATGTCAGGTTATAATAAAATAGTTTTTCTGGGAAAAACTGCTTTAGTTTAGTCCTTTGCCCTTCTTAGCCACATAAATAAAGCTGGAAAACTGAACTGCTATTTGAAAAGTGGGCATTGGAAGACAAGATGTGTACAATGGCAGTTCACGTGCTTTACTCATTGCTTAAAAATCACATGGTGTTCAAACTTGCAGCATTGCACTATCCCAAACACCAAACCATTGGGGTTATGTTCTGGAATTGTGCTGAGGGAGTTATGATACAGTTTCCTTGATAACTGGTACACATAATTAGATTATATTTCATTTAAAGAAAGCACCTAGCAAGAAGAATTCTGACTCCAATCTCATTAATTCATACTAAGCAAGATTTTTAATTACATCCAGGTATCTGGAGATGCAGCAAGGTGCTTAATTCACATGGTCTGATGGAGAAGTAGGCTACAGTCAGTTTTATAAACCTCACTTCAACTTCCTTGAGACCAGTCCACCTTTCTTTTCTCTTCTCCTGCTCTCTCCTGAGCTCTCCCAGACTGTTCCAGGCTGGCTGTGAGCCATACAGCACAATCCTGAAGCTGAGCAAATGCAGATACCAGGCCAGATGCAGGGCTTTGCTAACCCATTGTTTGGAGATGGTATTTTCCTAGCAAGCAGACTGAGATCATGTCTGCTCATAAAAACACGTGTAGGCACACCGTTGGATTCAAGGTAATGTCAGTTATTCCTCAAAATTGCTGGCACACAGAGTGAAGCAGAGATTAAAAGCAAATATGGTCTTAATGCACTGTTATGAGTTGTGCTGCTCAGGGCTTGGCAAATATTCTCATGCAGAAAACCCCCAGGGATTCTACTTATTCTGTCTATCAGGCCCAGGACCATAAATCACTACACTAGAAATAAGGAGCACTGAAAAACATCACCATTATTTAACACTGCAGAGCTCTTTCTCCAGAGGAAAAAAGAGTTGCTACAAGGATGAAATCCAACTTATGGATTTGGGATGTACTTTTGCCATGGCAAACCAAACCTGGGGGACCATGTGTATACAGAAAATTTTAGTGAGCCAACTTATTGCCAGCTTCCTTTCCTTTTCCTTAGCCTGCTGTGCTGACTCCAGGCCCCAGCTATGGATTGTACTGCTCTGGAGTCTGGAGAACACTTCTAAATGTGGCAGATAGGTAGGAAACAGGGCATTGATTCTTATTGATCCTGCACCTTCATCCTGGCTAGACAAAATCCTCTGCTAATGTGCCTCTGGGTATTTTCCAGGGCTGGCCTTGCACTGGAGAGCACAGAGCAGAAAATGCCATCTTTCCAAGTAAAAATAAGGAGTAAATGTTTCTCATTTTACTTATGTGAGCAGCACAGCATCTTGGTAATTAGTAGTTTGGGGGAGTTCTCATTCTGAAGGGTTTAATGGATATTAATGATGTTGAGGAACTCTGCTTTAAACAGTAAACACCATTGGAGCTGTTTATCAACAAAAGTTTTCAATCTAGGTCAGACACAGAGGATTAAAAAAAACCAAAACAGTTTATGAAGTACTACTGGGTAAGAGACATTGCTTAAAAAAACAAAAGAAACACAGGGGAAAGCTATTATACACATTATGAACTTATGAAATTTGATCTTTAGATTTAATTAAAGCCTTTCTGAGGAACTCAATAACATTTTTGTACTGTTAATGCCACAGTATTTCCTCAGTTTGCCCAGTAACAATCATATGTTAACACAGAAAACACATGCCCTCTAATGTTTCTTATTCCAATACCTTCTAAATCTATATTCACATCAGTGCCTTCTTTAAAGTCCTTAGATAGGAAAGTAAGAGCAACATTATGGATTATCTTAATTGAAACCAAGCTGGTCCCAGCTTTTACTTTACTTCTTTTTCCCAAGTATTTTTTTATTCTTGTCTACACCATTTATCAATCACAACTAAAAGCAGTCCTAAGCCACCCCTGATGGGATGGGATACCACCCCTGCTTACATGAGATGCTTACAAAAGAAATGAGAATTTTAAGTATCTAGTTTTGTCCTTGGGGTTTGGCCATGGGTAAGGTCCCTAACATGCAGATTTGCACACTCTCCCCACCAAAGAGCATGCAGTATCTTTCCTTTTTTAATTTCTAGAAAAAAATGTTTGTTATAAATCTGGGATCAAGGGCAGGTGTGGCTACAAACAGATTTGGGAAGGTGAAGTAATTGCTATTTGCTGAAAGTAATTGCTTCTTGTTATGATTACCATAGCAATTAATGTAATTCTCTATAATACCATTGGGAATAATAAAGTTAGTGGAGAACAGCAAACAAACACCTTTGTCTGCTCTGGAAAACAGATTAGTACCAAACCTGCCTTGTTATATGGACAGCAGGAGAGCTGCATCATCCTTTTAACTTCACTTTCTTGCTTTTAAATGCTTGGCTTAGGCAAAGTCATGAGAGACAATTAGGTTTTTGTCACTTAGCAACCAAAACTGGGTTCAGGAGCAAAGCAATTTGCAACAGACAGTACTTGACTACTAAACGTTGCCACTGCAGCACATCCACAGCCACTCACTCCTGCTTGAAATGAGGGAGTCTGGGCACAGAAAAACAACCAAAGCACCTTTCAAAAGAAGCGTTCATGTTCAAATTTTCAAGCTACTTAGAGGAACTTTGTCCTCCCCTGATTTCCCACCACCCCATCACCCACACAGAAGAGTTTTTGTAGAGGTCCTTGAGAGAGGAAGGACACAAGTGAGCACCTAAGCTGTCTGAAGGCATCTCAGTGCTAATGCCAGCCAAGTCAACTGCAGTGAAACACCCATGTACCATGGATATCACATGGACCTCTCCTTCTCGGTGCTCACTTGGATCACTTAGGTGCTCTTAAGTTTCAAGTAGGTACTTAGGATGTCCCTGGATGAACAGGAAGTTTTGAATGAAAATATGACACAATGAAATAGTGAAAAATTATTGTAATTCTACATTCCTTGTAAATTATGGGACTTCGGGTCTTTACCAGAGGTAGACAAACATTGGTGACAAAAATACTATTCCTTTTTATAAAAGTACTTCGAGTAACTCCCTTTTAGAAGGATCACAATATCTAGTTAAGATTCAAGGCCTAATTCTGGTATTGGTTGGAGCCATTCACACCATGGGCTCTCAAAGACTCAATTTCAGCAGTGCACAGGAGGGCAGCAACAAGCACAATCTGCTTTCAGCTCTGGCCTGATGAAAGCACCCTTGACTCACACAGCATTGTCCAGAAGTGACACAAGTGTGTACTTTCTGAGGAGTTTAAACACAATCTTGAAAAATGTTTGGTGGATATTACAGGAGCTCCTGCTGGAAGCAGAAGCCCAGTGTGCTAATGGATGAAGAGAATTTTACTCTGATATCCCAGCATCCAACTAAACCATTCAGTTCTGGAAGACTGAATAGATGTAGTTGAAAATCACAGTAGCCAAGTATTTCTCATTACTTTTTGCAGCTGAAATGCTGTGGAAAGTGGAGGAAATTACTTTGGCTGGGGCATGCAATGCTTGCCTGGAAGTCCTTAAGTATTTTGTTCAGCCCCAGTACACAGAAAATAAAAATGTCTGAACAAATTTATTGAGGGTTCAGTCCTCTGCTTGTCACACTTGACAGCAGATCTTTGACTGGCTGGAGATTGGTGCTGCTGTGTAGGGAAGAGAGCTCTCTCTTGCCACACCACCCTGCCTAATCTCTGGCACTGGTGATCTGTTATTGGTCATTGCTGGGAGATTCAGCTTTACAGACATCATCTGCAGGGATGCAGCAGAAAAGGAGCCCACAGAGGAAAAGTGGAACCTGCAGCTATGGGGCCTTGGCAGCTGAAGGGCAACTGCCTCCCTCAAAGCTGCTCCAGTGTCACAAAAGTCTACATTCACCTGAATTAGCACAAGATCCAACAACAGTCTTGGTATATTAGACATGTGTTAATTATGTTCTGTAGATAAATAAAATGACATTTAAATTGTCTCTAATAATGGAAGTGCACATTGAAGCTACTGAATTTCCTTATGCTAAAATAAGCAACAAAGATTGTGATGATATTTTTGCTCTAAGAAATGCTATTCTTTTTTTAACTTATGCTTCTCATTAGCACAAAATAATGGGTAACCACAGATCTAATTGCCAGGGTTAGTTTGTGCTTAATGACATGTGAAGTCTGCTCCATGGATTCCAGAGAAATGTGAGCTTCTGGGTGTTTCCCTCTATTC